TCAATGATGAAGTTTGGAAGGGCAGTTTGGCATGAGTTCAAAAAAAAGCGTCGAAAGTGATCTGCTGTGCTCTGACAATGAGAACACTTGTGGTAGTATTTGATGAACTTCTCATTTGAAAAACATGGGGCTTTTGCAGAGGCAAACCAAGAGCGGAGTGGTCAGAACCTAGTCACGCATCAAAATTATAACATCTAATATATGCCTATTTGACTTACCTGGGCATACTTTTAGGGCCAGATTAGCAATGCATCATTTTGTTATAGGATAGTTTTACCACGATGCTTGATTGGGTTTTTTATGTTCTGGTGGCATGGTATCTGTATAAACCGATGTATAAGGTTCAATTATTTGTCGGACTTAAGTACGTGTTTATCATATGCTCAGCGGCTATCTGGAAGGAGCTTTGAGCGTTGTACGAATTTGTCGAAAGTACTCTAACGCATCTTCCGAAGATCTTTCGAAATTTATTGGGTTTTTAGTGGGTGAGACCTCCCTGTGATCAGAATACCGGTCACTGTAATTGCACGACTGTTCAAGTGAGTTCTATATTCGAGCTCTTTCGTTCCAGATATCGCTTAGCTGATAATAAACATATAATTGAAAGTTCAAAGCGAGTCTGACTAGCTTGTTTAAACTGCGCGAAGTTCTGACCATTCTTTTGCAAGCATAATCATCGGCATAAAAAACGATAAAGCTCAGGACCAGCTTCAAACAGATCTGATACTTTCAGCCAGTCTTGGATAGCACGGTGAACATCTCAAAACCAAATCAGTATGATATAATATCCGAGTGGATTGGAACTGGCTTATTGACAAGGTAAGAGCAATTTTAGAAATTTTCAAAAATATTAGTTTTTCTGCTTTCTGTGACAATGCAAATATTAAATGCTTACACACATAGATGCTTTTTAAAGCTGTTGTTGTCCTGTGATGTTGATCTTGCACTTTTATTTGTCTCAAGTTTTTCCCATATTCTTCCCCATCTGTTTCCTCCTGCTCCCTTCTTACTTCTACGAAAAGTCACTTTGTTATGATCATCTTCATAATAGCTGCTAAAACAAAATAATGTTTTCCCATCTACTCGCATTTGAAGAATTTCAAGGTCGACCAACACTTTACGACTTCAAATACAACATTTTCAGCACGAACGAAAAATGGTTTCGGAGGAGAAAAATGCTTACACCCACTTTCCATTATAACATTCTTCGCGATTACCATGAAATATTTGCACAGCAAGGAGAGGTATAGATCATCTCAGTTGTAATAATTTACTTCCTTATTCGGTTTCAGATTCTTGTCGATCTCATAGCCAAAGAAGAAGGAGATTTCGACTTATTTCCCTATATTAAACGATGCGCGCTGGATATTATATGTGGTAAGACTTTAGTGCGAGAATTTGAAATGCTGCAGATCTTGGATTTACCTCCATCAAAACTTCGTTGTTGAGAAACTGCCATGGGCACTTCCATCAATGCCCAAACCGGAGGTAACAACGAGTATGTGCGTGCTGTACAGCGGCTAAGTGCTCTCGTTTGGGACTATCAAAGGTGAGCATTGGGATAGATTGGGGTAGAAATTTTCATTGTACCAGGAGCTCGCAGACTAAATAATCCTGCGTCAGTTTGACAATACTTACGAAATGTAATTGCTACTTCTACATGTATTGAACGTATCCTCGAG